CTAGTCAGTCGCTAGTCAGAGGCTAGTCAGTCGCTAGTCAGTGCAGAGCAATAGTTATTCAAATTGGTCGCCATATTTTGATTTGATGTATATTTTTAGGAAATGTGCACCTTTTAATCGGCTGAATATATCCAATGCATCTTGAAATGAAATATGATGAGCAGGGATTCTACTTCTTAACTTAGTCTTCCACGGCTTTCTATATATCCCTCGTACAGACGGATAACCATATGTGGAGATATCTCCCGGAGATACCGCACGAGATGCTGATCCACGCTGGACACCTGTTTTAGGCAGCCACCAGGTTTTGGGGAACGTGTTATCTGTGCCATCTGGGGCAAATTCAGAGGGATCATTGTAGATAAGAACTCCTATCGCACCATGTATTTCAGCATTATGTACCTGTGTTGAAATGCGTAGAATAATGGGTTGAATTTATATAGCGCCATTTCCAGGAGCTTAATGTCGCTTTACAAGATCAGTGGAGGACTTTACGGGCTGGATATTAAAGCGCTAGTAGCAGCCGTGCAGCTTACAATCATGAGTGATTTGTTAGTATGTTAATATTATGCCTCCAGATTAGGATAAAGTAGAGGAGTAAGTTGCCATCGACTGTGCGGTTCCCTATAAAGCCTAACGTTCCCTCTTCAAAGACTTTTTCTGGACACAGACTCATTTTATTTCAAAGCTTATATGTGTTCTTAGTATGCCCGTCCAAAATTTTCCCGGATTCGCCCAGTTACAAACTAAATTAATTAATTAACTATATAAGTATCATTAAGCTATTAAAAGTACCTTATTTCCTCTGAATATTCTACCCTGTCTGATGATCACTATATGATCTTTCAAAGAGACTCCCTGTTTGATAAGCTGTTCAAAGTCTTCGTCTCTGCCAAAGTTCGCATAGACAACATCTCCCATCACAGTGCCGTTTGGAGTAACCGTGAGAAAGGGCGGTAGTACATCCGGGGATTCCTCACTCGGTAAAACAGCCTATTGAAACAAATGAAATAAAATGACGATAATTTTGATTGACGATCCTTGCCGAAGTTCGAGGGAAGACTGGTAACGAGAGTTATCGTTGAGAATGGAATAATAGTCCCCTTCACGGATCCCTGCGCCATCTTGAAAGGTAGTAGGGCCTTTGCATCGAAGCGAGACGAACGGTGAGCTGGCAATGATAGAGACCTTTTTTAACATCTTTGACAATTATTCACATGTCTCTATCATTGCAAGCTCACCGTTCATCTCGCTTCGATGCAAAGGCCCGGCTACCTTTCAAGATGGCGCAGGGAACCGTGAAGGGGTCTATTGTAGGATACAATGTAGCAAAATCTTTTGTTTGTGGATTAAAATAAAGCTGAATGAGCGCTAGTTCTTTACCATTGTCTCTATATTCAGCAAATGCCAAGAAAACAGAACACCGATGTTTGCGTTGTTGAGGCTACAAAAAGGGGAGTCTGTCCACTTTAGTCGACCTCACAATTACCTTGGCCGTAATGTTTTCTCATTGCAGACCACGTGTCATTCATTCCCTAGAGTATCATTACTTTGTTTAACGGTTGCGCATATTACTTTCTGAAATAGCGCACCGATGGTGCATCAGTGTGGTCTAGATTCAGTCACAAACACCATTTAAGGCATGAAGAACAAATGTCGTTTGTACATCCTGTTTATCGAACTCAGAAAGGCCTATGTGACTCAGACTCGTACCCAGTCGTCACTCACGCTTTTTCAATGCGCGCAATGGCTTTTGGGAAGAAAAGAGAAAAAGTAAGAGTGGGATGAAGGATCTTAAGATTCTCAAGACAATGACACGTTGTTCGAAATGGGAAAACATCGCACCCGAACCAAAGAGGTGTATTTACCTTTTCTTTGAGAGGAAACTGTAGTCGAGTTCTTCCTTCGTTATCTACTATCGAGACAGAGGAAGGATTATTAGGATCGGGAAGGCTAAGTAGGATGTCATATCGTGCCAGTTCTACTTTATCAAAGCCATAATGTTCCCATCTCCTTGCTATTTCACGAGCAAGTTCGTTATTACGCTTAGAACCAGCAATGTGTGGAAACTTCGTAAGATAACTGCAACAAAAGAAATAATTTAGCTTGTTTAATCATCAATTATTATTACTATTAATATCTAACAAATAAGTGATTATTATCATTAATTATCGTTATTTCTTAGAGTGATTTTCATAAACCCGTAAAACAGATACCATTAGTTAATGTGTAATAGTGACATTAGGGTGTACTAATTTGTATTAGGCTGGTATGTCTTCATAGGTTTATGAAACCTACTCTATTATTAGTCTCATTATTATTATTCGTATTCCTAACAAAATTTATCATTAAAGAGTGCACGCTATATACTTATTTCAATAAAGTTAGTCACCTGAAAAGCTACAAAGCTGAGACCGACCAGGATTATTATGGGTAGATTCATTTTACACGTTCAACCGCTTGATAACTGTTCATGGACTTGCGAATCTTTTACAGGTTACAGTCTCACCTCTTCTGAGCATCATCGAGCTGCAGTTTGTATTAAAAAAGCTTCGTATATATATGCTTTTTTGATATGAAAAGTTTCCCATGATGCTCAGTGATCTCAGCGTTCTAGGTTTTTTGACTAACTTTATTGAAATAAGTGTATATCCATGAAACAAAAGCAAAGATGTATTGCCGAATTCTTCTATTGCACGTTACGTCATCGCGGCCATGTTGGTGCCATTTAACAAAAGATTTCTCATTAGCATTCATTGTTAACGGCACCACAATGGTCGCCATTTTTTTGTCTTTTGACTCTCTTGGAAATGCTTGCAAAAAACAGTGGATATTAAGCCCCGTTTATGCTAGCGATTTTTTTGCCATTTTTCATGCGATTTTTTTGCGATTCTGTCCATAATAAATAATGGTAAAGAATTTACTTGTAAAGTTTTTTCAGGATACCAAGATTTTCCTAGACGAATGTCTCTTTTGAAGGATGGGACAAAATATTTCATATTTCCGAAAATTGCCATAAAAATCGCAGCAAGAATCGCCGCAAAAATCGCCAGTGTAAACGGGGCTTTACTATCTGGAGCAAAATATTAGGAACAAAAGCAAATACCTCTAGGCGTCTTCGTTTGGTTCATGCCTGAGTGAATATTTTGTTTCAAAACTGAACAGTTGATAAAGTAAATACTTTTAAGCGCTACTGAAGAAATAAAAAACGCGCGCGCGTGCTGTGTGCAGTTATAAAGCACCGGGGATATAGTAAGACACGAGACAAGTGTTAGGAGAAGCACGACGCGTAAGATACTTCTAGAGTGTTCTGCCAATCCCCAAGTGCTATAAAAATCTACACAGCACAGCAAGCAAGTTTTTTATTTCTCTTGCAAAATGCAAAGGTGCGTGCTCCCAACCAATCAGAATGCGAGATTTATAACAGTTATTTGATAAATGGCTAGCAATTGTTTCACGGATTTAGATAGCGCACTCTAACAGTTGACATTCTAAAGATCTTTAAATCCCTCTCCATACTTGGCTGATTTATTGCTTCACTTTTAAAATGTAAAGTCAATACGATATTCTTTAGCACCCGTACTTTTACCAAGAAAATCTTGTATTATATCTGATTATGAGATTGGACTAAAATGATAATAAAAATATTTATAACTTGAAACAAATTCTTACCGTAAGTTGTTATCAATATTTCTTACTCGTAAAAATCCTGACAGCCTTGTAGCTGTGTTTTCACTCTTTACTTCACGAGGAAATAATTGGGATTTAGAAGTATTGTTATTTTTAAACAAAACTAAAAAAGATACCGAGGTGACGAAGAAAAGGGCGCCAAAAATCGCAAGCGCCTTTTTACGAAAATCTGAATTTTCCTCGAGTTTTTCCTTGAACTTCATAATGTTCCTCTTCCTTAAACGACAATATGATGTGAACCGAAGTATTAAATCATAAAAAGGTCGATAGGGTCAAAAGTACCTGTCGAAAAGATAAAGCTTTTCTATCCTTAGTGTCAAGCACCAGTGTAACACGTTTACAATAGTACGTGTGGTGGACGGGATCATAGAGTTGATTCCCCCAACGAAAATCAACTTCTAAATTCAAATTTAATCTGATATAGAACGCGTCGTTATCCATGAGGCTCTGGTGTGGGGTAACTGGTTAGCCACACCAGGTTATTGCCTGAGTGGGTACTTTCATTCAAAATGAGAACGACGATTTTATGACATGTCTTGATAAATTTCAGAAATTTTGCTGGGTAGGGCTAAAAGATAGGAAATACCCTGAAACAACCTCTTGGCTGAT